TAGAATCGACTTGTATTCCAAATTTTTTAGCCAAAAAAAAAAACTAATTACTTAAAAATTTAGAATTGATTTGTATGTTCCAATGTTTTTACAAGAAAAAAACAATTCGATGGTATCATGCGGGTAAAATTAACTACTAAAATACTGAAAATGGAATCGATTTGTTTTCCAAATTTTCTTCAAGAAAAAAAAACGAATCACTTGAAAAACTAGAATCGATTTGTAAGTTCCAATTTATTTACAGAACAAAAAATACAATTCACTTAAGTCATGTGAGTAAAAATAACTATCAAAACACTGAAACTAGGTGGGATGTGTAATTTTCAACTTTTTACCAGAAAAAATACGATTCACTTGACTCGTGCGATTAAAATTAACTATTAAAAAACTGAAAACAGAATCGATTTGTATTCCAAATTTTTTTACCGAAAAAAAACTAATTACTTAAAAAACTAGAATTGAATTGTATGTTTCAATGTTTTTACAAGAAAAAAAACGATTCGTTGGTATCATGCGGGTAAAATTAACTACTAAAATACTGAAATTGGAATCGATTTGTTTTCCAAATTTTCTTCAAGAAAAAAAAACGAATCACTTGAAAAACTAGAATCGATTTGTAAGTTCCAATTTATTTACAGGAAAAAAAAATACAATTCACTTGAGTCATGTGAGTAAAAATAACTATCAAAACACTGAAACTAGGTATGATGTGTAATTTTCATTTTTTTACCGAAAAAAATTGCGATTCACTTGAAAATGCGATTAAAATTAACTATTAAAATACTGAAAATAGAATTAATTTGTATTCCAAATTTTTTAACCAAAAAAAAAACTAATTACTTAAAAATTTAGAATTGATTTGTATGTTCCAATGTTTTTACAAGAAAAAAACAATTCGATGGTATCATGCGGGTAAAATTAACTACTAAAATACTGAAATTGGAATCGATTTGTTTTCCAAATTTTCTTCAAGAAAAAAAAAACGAATCACTTGAAAAACTAGAATCGATTTGTAAGTTCCAATTTATTTACAGAACAAAAAACACAATTCACATGTGTCATGTGAGTAAAAATAACTATCAAAACACTAAAACTAGGTGGGATGTGTAATTTTCATTTTTTTACCGAAAAAAATTGCGATTCACTTGAAATTGCGATTAAAATTAACTATTAAAATACTGAAAATAGAATCGATTTGTATTCCAAATTTTTTAACCAAAAAAAAACAAATTACTTAAAAATTTAGAATTGATTTGTATGTTCCAATGTTTTTACAAGAAAAAAACAATTCGATGGTATCATGCGGGTAAAATTAACTACTAAAATACTGAAATTGGAATCGATTTGTTTTCCAAATTTTCTTCAAGAAAAAAAAACGAATCACTTGAAAAACTATAATCGATTCGTAAGTTCCAATTTATTTACAGGAAAAAAAATACAATTCACTTGAGTCATGTGAGTAAAATTAACTATCAAAACACTAAAACTAGGTGGGATGTGTAATTTTCATTTTTTTACCGAAAAAAATTGCGATTCACTTGAAAATGCGATTGAAATTAACTATTAAAATACTGAAAATAGAATCGATTTGTATTCCAAATTTTTTAACCAAAAAAAAAACTAATTACTTAAAAATTTAGAATTGATTTGAATGTTCCAATGTTTTTACAAGAAAAAAAACTATTCGATGGTATCATGCGGGTAAAATTAACTACTAAAATACTGAAAATGGAATCGATTTGTTTTCCAAATTTTCTTCAAGAAAAAAAAACGAATCACTTGAAAAACTAGAATCGATTTGTAAGTTCCAATTTATTTACAGAACAAAAAATACAATTCACTTGAGTCATGTGAGTAAAAATAACTATCAAAACACTGAAACTAGGTGGGATGTGTAATTTTTAATTTTTTACCAGAAAAAATACGATTCACTTGACTCATACGATTAAAATTAACTATTAAAATACTGAAAATAGAAACGATTTGTATTTCAAGTTTTTTAACCAAAAAAAAACTAATTACTTAAAAATTTAGAATTGATTTGTATGTTCCAATGTTTTTACAAGAAAAAAACAATTCGATGGTATCATGCGGGTAAAATTAACTACTAAAATACTGAAATTGGAATCGATTTGTTTTCCAAATTTTCTTCAAGAAAAAAAAAACGAATCACTTGAAAAACTATAATCGATTCGTAAGTTCCAATTTATTTACAGGAAAAAAAATACAATTCACTTGAGTCATGTGAGTAAAATTAACTATCAAAACACTAAAACTAGGTGGGATGTGTAATTTTCATTTTTTTACCGAAAAAAATTGCGATTCACTTGAAAATGCGATTGAAATTAACTATTAAAATACTGAAAATAGAATCGATTTGTATTCCAAATTTTTTAACCAAAAAAAAACTAATTACTTAAAAATTTAGAATTGATTTGAATGTTCCAATGTTTTTACAAGAAAAAAACTATTCGATGGTATCATGCGGGTAAAATTAACTACTAAAATACTGAAAATGGAATCGATTTGTTTTCCAAATTTTCTTCAAGAAAAAAAAACGAATCACTTGAAAAACTAGAATCGATTTGTAAGTTCCAATTTATTTACAGAACAAAAAATACAATTCACTTGAGTCATGTGAGTAAAAATAACTATCAAAACACTGAAACTAGGTGGGATGTGTAATTTTTAATTTTTTACCAGAAAAAATACGATTCACTTGACTCATGCGATTAAAATTAACTATTAAAATACTGAAAATAGAATCGATTTGTATTCCAAGTTTTTTAACCAAAAAAAAACTAATTACTTAAAAATTTAGAATTGATTTGTATGTTCCAATGTTTTTACAAGAAAAAAACAATTCGATGGTATCATGCGGGTAAAATTAACTACTAAAATACTGAAATTGGAATCGATTTGTTTTCCAAATTTTCTTCAAGAAAAAAAAAACGAATCACTTGAAAAACTATAATCGATTCGTAAGTTCCAATTTATTTACAGGAAAAAAAATACAATTCACTTGAGTCATGTGAGTAAAATTAACTATCAAAACACTAAAACTAGGTGGGATGTGTAATTTTCATTTTTTTACCGAAAAAAATTGCGATTCACTTGAAAATGCGATTGAAATTAACTATTAAAATACTGAAAATAGAATCGATTTGTATTCCAAATTTTTTAACCAAAAAAAAAACTAATTACTTAAAAATTTAGAATTGATTTGAATGTTCCAATGTTTTTACAAGAAAAAAAACTATTCGATGGTATCATGCGGGTAAAATTAACTACTAAAATACTGAAAATGGAATCGATTTGTTTTCCAAATTTTCTTCAAGAAAAAAAAAACGAATCACTTGAAAAACTAGAATCGATTTGTAAGTTCCAATTTATTTACAGAACAAAAAATACAATTCACTTGAGTCATGTGAGTAAAAATAACTATCAAAACACTGAAACTAGGTGGGATGTGTAATTTTTAATTTTTTACCAGAAAAAATACGATTCACTTGACTCATGCGATTAAAATTAACTATTAAAATACTGAAAACAGAATCGATTTGTATTCCAAATTTTTTTACCGAAAAAAAAACTAATTACTTAAAAAACTAGAATTGAATTGTATGTTTCAATGTTTTTACAAGAAAAAAAAACGATTCTTTGGTATCATGCGGGTAAAATTAACTACTAAAATACTGAAATTGGAATCGATTTGTTTTCCAATTTTTCTTCAAGAAAAAAAAACGAATCACTTGAAAAACTAGAATCGATTTGTAAGTTCCAATTTATTTACAGAACAAAAAATACAATTCACTTGAGTCATTTGAGTAAAAATAACTATCAAAACACTGAAACTAGGTATGATGTGTAATTTTCATTTTTTTACCGAAAAAAAATACGATTCACTTGACTCATGCGATTAAAATTAACTATTAAAATACTGAAAATAGAATCGATTTGTTTTCCAAATTTTTTTACCGAAAAAAAACTAATTACTTAAAAAACTAGAATTGATTTGTATGTTTCCATGTTTTTACAAGAAAAAAAACGATTCGTTGGTATCATGCGGGTAAAATTAACTACTAAAATACTGAAATTGGAATCGATTTGTTTTCCAAATTTTCTTCAAGAAAAAAAAACGAATCACTTGAAAAACTAGAATCGATTTGTAAGTTCCAATTTATTTTCAGAAAAAAAAATACAATTCACTTGATTCATGCGAGTAAAATTAAATACCAAAACACTGAAACTAGAATCGATGGGTAATTTTCATTTTTTTACCGAAAAAAATAAAATTCACTTGAATCATGTGGGTAAAAATAACTATTAAAACACTGAAAATAGAATCGATTTGTAATTTTCAAACTTTTTTTTCTCACAGAAAAAAAAACGATTCACTTGAATCATGTGGGTAAAATAACTACCAAACATTGAAATTAGAATTGATTTGTGTTGTTTCAATTTTGTTTACACAAAAAAAACGATTCACTGTAATCATGCGGTTAAAATTAACTACCAAAATACTGAAATAAGAATTGATTTGTAAGTTGTTTATTATGCGAAATGTTAAGGGGCTGAAAATTAATTGGTTCAACAATATTTTTTTTGTTTTTGTTACAATTTGTGTGAATTGAGTTTTTCGATTCAAAACTTAAACGAAAATTTTTGTCGAACTGAAACTGGTTTGACCCTTACGGGATTTTGAAACTCGTAAATTATTAGATAAAATTTTTGTTCATCTCTAATTGTGAATTGAAACACGAAACTAAAGAAAAACATTTTGGAAAAACTAAAACAACGAAAAATTATCCTTAAATATAGAAGAAAAAGCTCATAAAGTTTTATAGAAAAAAAACTCAATGCAGTATGTGGATCATGAAATAAAATTTTGGATACGTTTTTGAAACTGTTTTGTAGACGATCAGGTTGTATTCACATTTTAAGTCCTCAAACTAACAACTTCCGCAATTCCTCAATTCTCTAACGTTTCTTTTTTTCAGGTGCTTAAACTAGCTCGCCACTCCACCGGTCTTCAATCACTAGGCTTCACTCTCAAACAGAGCTACAAAGAACTAGGTCTACTGATGTTGTTCTTAGCTATAGGCGTGATGGTGTTCTCAAGTCTGGTTTACTTTGCTGAGAGGGATGATCCGACAACTAGTTTCAGTTCGATCCCCGCTTCTTTCTGGTGGGCTGTCATCACAATGACAACTGTCGGTTAGTATCATTTCCTAGTTTCATTTTGCTTCAGAGCAGAACATTCTATAGAGCTGCACTTAGAGCAGAATTTCATCCATACGGCAGAATTTACCATTTTTTGGAAATCCGATAGGATAATTTTATCAATTCATCTTGAAGCAATAATTACTTTGCTTCTGCTGGTGTTCAAATTCACTAATTAAAAATTCGAACAATGATTTTACAATCATAATTTTGGTCTAAAATAGTAAAAACTGCGTGTGTTATTTTGATTGTGCAATTTAAAGCAACAAAACATCTTTAAAAGCAATTAAAAAATGATGCGTGACTTGAGCATAATAAAAATTCTTTGAAAAATTATCCTTTCTGGTTGCTTCAACCTAAACTAAACGTTTTGCGTAGTACATAAGCAATAGCATCGGTATCTTGCATCGGGAAATTTTGTTAATAAATGGAGACACGCAGTGTCGAGATGTGAACAAACTTCGAGATGCAACAAAGGCTGTTGCTTATCTGGTATAGAACACATGAGAAAAAATCGAACAAAATGAAAGCAGACACATTCGAAAAAATTTTCACGCTAGCACGCGATTTTTTATTCTAATTTGTTAGGGTTGATTGTACTAGGAAAGATATTGAACTGTGTTTCTTTTTCATATATAATAAACTAGAGAAGTATTTGAAAAACTAGTGCAATTTTTGAATATTGCACTAGTGTTTCAATTATTGAACTAATTTTTCAAATATCGCAGTAGTGTTTCAAACATTGCATTAGTTTTTCAGTTTGGCGTGAAAACATAGTGAAGACGTGTTTGTTACCAACCCTTAAAAAGTCAAGTTTTTCTGTTTCGTAGAGTAGAGTCATTTTGACTTCTGGTGATCAATGCTTTAGCGAATTTGATCTTGTTTTCTTTTTGTTGGAGAAAAAATTCATCTCTGAAAAGTTTGAATAAAAATTTTGCAATCGTTTTGTTAATCTATGACCACAATTATACTACTGTCTGTAATTCTGAATCCGCTTTTTAAATCAAAAATCAATTGTCTTTGAAAATACAGAATTAAGGTGAAGTGTGATTTCCCAACATGCTTTGAGGGTTTTGTGGAGGCGCGTTAATCTGGAACGAAAAAAATTGCCCAATTCTTGTCAACTGTGACAACAGTGTTTCAATAGTGTGAAACGCAGAACCATCGCGCTGAACCATTCTTGAAATAAATATTCAGTTTCAAAAATACTGTTCGCTAATTATATTTTTTTGAATCACGACAACCATTATACTGCGAAATTTTTATTTTGGAAAATTTTTTGCTTTTGTCGCCAAAACAAAGGAGAGAAAACGGAAAGATTTTGAACACTGTTCTTTTTTTTCGTGTTTAGATTTGGTAAACCTTTGGGATCAATTGATCAATATTCACACTTTCCATCAGTGTATGGCAAATTTAGGGCTTTAATTGAGTAGTTAGGGCTTTAATTGTCTTTTAAAATAAATCTTGCATTTTGTAAGTAAAAATTTTAAAGAAAAAAAATCAATCAATTTACATGCATTATTAAACCTTTTTTTATGTTTTTTGAATTTTCATCAAACTGATTGAATTGATCCTTTATTATCTTTTTCTAGTTTCTTTGGAGCAAATCAAATTTATTTGTCACTGCTGCAGTTTTTATTCTAGTATCTCAGTGAACGGTCGTTGAAAAATTTTTTTGCAATTTAACAATATCATAACCTAATAAAGAAAACCAGAAAGTCAGAAAATCTGAAAATTATCTGCTAAGAAGCATAAAATAGAGTTGATGCGGTTAACAGCAATCATTTGACGTAAAATTTTTTGTGTTACTAATTGGTGTTCGCTTTTTAACCCAATCGTAGGCGTAAGCTGTCAGAAGATTCAGCTCAGAAAAATTGAAGCCTTTTAACCTCCCTTCAAGCTTTGTGGGAGGAGCAGTTTTTAGGTAAGTTAAATTGGCGAATTTTTTACCAATCATATTGCAGCAAAACTAGAAATTAAAAAACAACGCTATAGTGCTTTTTTACTGCTTTTTATAGGGATAATTTTAGTACATACCAAAAAAAAGAACAATTGTTTAGTAGATCCGTTAAATTTCTGAATTGAAAGGAAGGTTTGAAACATATTGGATGCAGAAAAAACCGTAGCCTCGAAGAAAAAAAAAAAAGATTTTCTCTAAACCTGATAACGAAACCAGTTTCTCAAAGTCTTTCGTGTAGCGTCGATTCCAAAACTATAGAGTAAGAAACGTAGTTTCTACCTCATTTAAGCAGTTTTAAGTCTATAAGTAAGAATCATTATACTACAGTGATTTTTTTTTTCAAAAAACGTTTTTTGCAACTCGAGCGCTTTGTTATAACTCTATAGGAATGTTCGATGCGATCCTAGATTTCCCAATTCGGGAGTCTTCCGGTGAACAGTTTTTGTTATTAGTTAGTTGGTTTGACTAACAAGTTATTTTAAAATTTAGTTAGTTTAATAATTCTCAATGCAGTTAGTTAGCTGTAGTTCTCAACACCCCTGCTTCAATTTAATTGGAGCTCAAAACTGTTCTAACAAAATGAAGAATAGCTCTAGTAGATCTAACTATTGCGCTACTAGACTTAATTGATATTTCAATAATTGGGATTTTGTATTAGGATGAAATATCCACAAAACTTTTCGATATTTTAGTGAAAAAATTTTGTTTCGACTTTTGAAGAATACGACGGAATGTTTGTGCCCGGGGTGGCTTTCTTTTCTCTACGCAAGTTTTGACTTTTCAATTTGCAATTTTTGCCGGCATTTGCAAAAATCATTCGAAATGTATTGTTATCCTAAAAATATTTCTCTTGTGATCATTTTTGTGTTCAAAATAATGGGTTTTAAAGATTGCCAAGTTGGTACTATCGATAAGTGATATAATTCGTGCTAATAACGTGCAAGCGGATATTTAACCCGTCTTAGAAATTGATAATTGAATTGAGGCGAACTATTCGGCCTATTTTATAGTTTGCTTAAAGCTAAATATCTAAAAGTGAAATATTTCATACTTTAAATAGCGTTTGGGGTGATGATTTAAAAAAAAACCCAAAAACCATTTAATTTTTTTGAACATTTTTTGAAATGTCATCCATTTTTAAAGGCGAAGACTACTTCATAGACCTTGAAATGCGGTGGTAACAATCAAGACTTTGCCCTGATACGAGCAGCCTGGTATACATTTGGCTTAATGATTCAACTTTTTCAAATTTTACAAAAACCTATTCCATACAATTTAAAAGATATGCATTTGAATCGAAACCTAGCTAGAATCAGAGCTAAAGAGAGCCTATGTTACAATAAGCTTGTTTTTGAGTGTCAAAATTGATTTTATGGGTATTCGGAATACAGTCTCGCATAATATTCAATCAAAAAAATCAATTATAATAAATTTTTGCTGTTTAGAGAATTGTAATCTATTCCCATATCGCCCTCAGACAACAAAATGGAAATAAAAATTGATTTTAATCCATTGTTTTATCAATTTGCAATGAATTATAAACTATAACCTATTTAAAATAAATTATAATGAATTTTCTTCCACTTACGTTTTTTTTCAAGACGTGCAATTTTTATGCAAACTTACGTAAAGTGAAAACAAAATTGCCTTTAATTGTGCCTATAGAAAATAAAAATTTGAAAGCTATGAAACTGTGAAATATTTTCATTTATTTCATAGACTGGATTGGTTTGCAAAAAGTTTAGGTTTTTCTAAGCAAGGTTCAAAGCTATGAAACTTCAAAATATTTTAGGTTATTTCATAAATTGAATCAGCTCGCGAAAAATTTAGGTTTTTCTACGCAAGCTTTTTAGGCTAGAAATTTTGAAATAGTTCAAGTTATTTCATTAAAAGAGTCGCCAGCAGAAAAACGTCAGTTTTTCTAAGCAAGCTTTTAAAGCTATGAAACTTTGAATTATTTAAAGTTATTTCATACAGTGAATCGGTTTGTGAAAATTTGTTTTTACGGGCGAGCTTTAAAAGCTGTGAAAATTTTCAAATTACTCCTTGGACTGAATCGGTTTGCAAACATTTTCAGTTTTTCTATGCAAGCTTTTAAGCTATGAAACGTTGAAATAATTCATTTACTTCATAGACCGAATCAGTTCGCAAAATTTTTTTTCTTAGCGTAGAGGTTGCTGTTTTTGACAGACAGAATTGACACAAAATTTTGGGAAAAAAGTTGGACATGTACTGTCTAGCCTTGAAGCTGGAACGAGTTCATCTTCTTCTGATGGTTGCGGTGAATGCTTCTGAAATTTAACGCTCCATAGCCTTTTAAAAATTGTCTCCTGATAACTCCTAAGCATTGCGTTCAGTTAAACATTGCGTCCACAGCGCATTCGGAGTTTCATTTTTTATATAAGAAGATAAATTATTATCCATGAAACTCTAGTGCGGGGTTGATTTCTCAGACTTCAAATAGTAAAAAAATATTTCTATCAAATTTTATGGCACTGGATACCATCGCAAGCTTTTATCTGGCGAAGTTAAAATTTGCGGAAACGATATGTTTTTTATAACTTGGCATCTTAAGAAAAAACGTTTTCTTTTAAACTGAATTGATTGAACACAAAGACGACTCTTTACAAAACAAAATTGCTCGTGACAGGGCGGAGCCCTGAATGTTCCGACTGTCTTTTAATGTCTTTGGAGAGTGTTCGCTTTAAAAAAAAATTATGAGTTTTAAAGAAAGATTTTTTAAATCGTCACCCCACACGCCATATAAAAAACAAAATAATAGATTTCGCTCCTAGTAGCGTAGAAACTATGACAATTAGCCTGTTTTAACCAATTTGGAACGAATTATACGAATTCAACCTCCGCCTACGCGTGAATAGCGCGAAATATATCGCGCAATAATTGTCCCAAATTAGCCATATTTGCTAACTTTAAACCCTCATAAATTTATGAAAAATAATCACAGGTAAAATATCTTTTCAAATTTGAGCTCAACACAACAATACTTTTTGGCTGATATAGAAAAATTCCGTCA